GGGCAGTAGTTCAAGACCTGGATTGTGCAGGGAGAGAGGTAGAAAGAGAATGACATTATTGTCTGAAGAAGCACAGTTAAAAAAACCCCAAACAATATGTTTGATGAGTTTCGCCTTAGTGTACTTAATACACTATTTCGAAATGGGAATTCTTTACTCCTTAAAAATTGTTAGAGTATTAATAGACATGGTTTGCGCAAAACAGATATATCTGTAAGAATCTGAAAAATTAAAACGTTTTCGTGCAATTATGAAACATCAAATTGTAACTTTATGGAAATGCTGTCTCAACAGTTACGACATTTGAGGAACTGAGGGTATTTAAGTGTTAAATCTTTGGTGGAGTGCTCGTAAACCAAGGTTCTTAGGACAACGGTTACAATTTTGTAATGTCAATATTGGAAAAAAAAATTAGCCAGAAAGACACCTGCCTTTAGCCTTGATTTTATTTCAAGAGATATAATTTCTTCTAGATATAGGTCGAAGGACTTCTTTGAACTATCTCACTTAATTAAGCCTACTTAAGGAACCTAAATCAGCCTCATTTAGCACAAATAAGGCAGCTCAAGAAAAGCGGGCCAAGTCAAGCAGACCCTGGTTAGCGAAAAAAAAGTCTGTAACTAGATTTAACTGAATCAAAGTAAAGTTAATGAAGCCATACCGCTAGCAGTGTTTTATTCAGAGCAACACTTTTTAACACCTTCACAGTGAATGTTGCCGCTACTTTTAGAATATTCCAAATATTTGAAGTCAAGTGATAAAACATCTTCATTTATCTTTTCCATTGAATTGATTTGTCGGTAGGCTCATCGTTAGCTCAGTTGTTATCATGTTGGATTACCGAGCGGATGACACTGATTCGAAGCTAGGACAGGACGTTCTTGAACTCTGGTCGTTTTGAGGAGTTTTCAAAGTTCTCAACCCATTTGGCCTGGTCCTATTGGAGATGGTCGTTAAATTCGGAGTTCCCACCTTTTAAATAACCTAATAGTGTTGATCACATTGCCGCTTTACTTTGCTTGAAGGGATCGAGGGAGTTAATTATTTCTTGATTGCAATTATAGGTGAAACAAATATGGGGAAAACAATTGGGGGGGGGAACAATTCGTAAAAAACACTGGCTGGGGGACGCTGTCTGTGAGGATTTATTGTTCTAGAGATGTCCATATATACAAACTTTGACTTGGAGTGATTTCGGGGAGATTACATTTATTTTCACCAGTACCCAAGTACTCTGAACATCTGCCTTCAAGAGCAACGCATGTCAGATGGGTATTCCCCACGTTAGAAACCGTACAGTTATACTCACAGCTTTTGCAGATCCATTCACAATTTTACATAGGATAAGTTGAATGCAAGATTTCTTAACAATGTTGCTATTTCTGTTGCATTAAAGGGAATGAGATTACGAATTTAGTGAGTTTTACGGTATTTAACGTATGCAAAGATTTTTTTTTTGTCCCACAGAGTTTTCAGCATTTATTGTGGATGCACTCTTATTTCTGATACCTATAATATCAAAGCGGCGTCTGTGGTGTAGCAATTCGGTGCTTCACTGTCGCACACAGGAGATCCGAGTTCGATTTCCGAGTGGGGAGACATTTTTATCAATGATTTCGGTCTTTCTGTATGCTGTGCCCCTCTCAGCCAGGGTTGTTCCTGACAGGCAGGGTCGGAAGCCTGTCTCCTAAATGATCTAGACTGTGTCGATGGGGGGCGTAAACCACTTACATTAAAAAAAAATTCGTAAACTGCGACACCCGTGGTGTGTCCTATCCTTTCTCCCAATTCTGTGATCTGGACATTGGCTAGGGAAAATCCTGTCGGCCTAAGAGATGCGATCGCCTCCCCACCCCCCACCCCAAAATCATAACACTTTCGTGTCAACCCCTTCCAATCGGGCCCTCGATGGCTGAGCGTGTCTTTCCAGCACCCCTGGGGCATTAATGATTCATCTGTCACGGCTCTAACGGGCGAAACATAATAATTTGATTGGTCCAACTCGAAAGGGCTCCTGGCCCAGAGTGGAGACTGGACCCGGATGATGGGCGCCAAAGTTGATCTTGGATTGAGGGACGCATTTGTACCTTGTTTTGATCTTGACTCATCAATTTGTATGCTTGCTTAAATATTTATGCTTGGTCTTTGAACAGAACAAGTGATATTTAAACATGGGAATGTTGGGGGGCTCGTATTCGGAAGTCAGGGTGACACATTGTCCTTGATTAAACCGAGTGAGCAGGAAAGATCTGAATTAACTAAATTTCACTCTCAGTACAATAAACACTGTTTACACTTACGCTCTTTTTATAAATTGTCTTTCGAATTAAAAATGAGCTTATTATTTCTTTACAATTTGAAACACCTGAAGTACATAAGAAACATATTGTTTTAAGGGCAAATTGAGCAGCTTTCGTTTCCGTCAAAAGAGTGTGTGTGTGTGTGTGTGTGTGTGTATGTGTGTGTTTGTGTGTGTGTGTGTGTGTGTGTGTGTGTGTGT